TAGTAATAATGAATATACTAATTAAATTAGGATACTCATTGTGTATTGTTTTTTGTATTAAAACAGGTTGAGGAAAGAATATTTTGAAAGAGAGGCATCATTGCATGATCCGCATTTTACAGGCAGACTGTATCAGTACACGATGTTTTTGGCAGAATTATTTTTAAATATGGAAGTGAGTCAGCTTTTCTTCTCATTACTACATGATATATATTTTCATTCAGAGAGCTGTTTCTGGTGCAGGGGAATACATATTGCACCTGGTGCAGACCTGACCTGGTGGGGGTCTGAGGTTAGTGAGAGCAAATCCCCTGGTTGCCAGAGCCATTTTAGGAATTAAGAGGTCCTAACATTTGATTTCAGAGATACTGCTTCTAATTGTAGTATCATAAAATTTAAACATTACACATCACTCAAAATGAGCTCGTGGTTCCCTTTGGCCCGAGAGGGATAGCAACTGCAAGGGCCCTGCCTTGAGTTACAGGTATTTATTCTTTTATTCAACTTTTATTTACTTCTCCTTACTTCCTGATAAGACTCTCATCTGCGGTAGAAGCTCGCACCGAAGCCTTCATTTTGAAGTTTGCGCTAAATCCAGAAGAAGAAGTCATGCAAAAGGCGTTGGTTCCATTCTTCACGATTGGTTTTTATCCTTCTACATTTTCACAGTCAAACCATTCTTGACACCTCAGTGACAGGGATATATCCAGAGATGTCTGAAAGGGGGGGGGGGGAGACTGATCAAGAGGCAACACTAACTTAGGGTTCCGGGGGCATGCTCTCGCAAAATTTTTGTTTTCTAGATGCCCGGAAATGATTTCCAAGGCTTTTTGGGGGTTCAATAAATTCTTTTTTTCTTTTTCTTGTTGTCCAAAAAGGGGGCCCCTGCCCTTGCTAAGATAATTAAAGTATGAAAACTTGTGACTTGGTGATATAGACAGTACACATGAAGACATTTCCCAGCTCTTTTCTATTGAAGTTTACTACATTCTTTAATGTCCAAATGGGACTGGGACATATTACCATTGCTCAAAAGGTGTGTGACCGCATGACGACAATCGGAGGCAACATGAATTTCCCAGAGGCATTTTGGGGGAAAAATTCATACAAAAAAACTGTTTGGCTCTATATTACACACAGGACTATCAGCTTAAAGTCTCATATTGTCCAAGGGATTTCATATACACATCTGTTCACCCCCTGGTACAGTGGTAGATTGCCAAAATTAATTAACATTTATTTCTACTCTTTTGTAGGTAAAAGCTAAAAACGATACGTATACCAAAGCAATGATTTTAAGAACTGCATTATATGGTGTGATGGAATCACTTCTCAAGTTTCAAAATGAAGATAACATGCATTTACTTATTAGACTTTTGAAATTAACCGGTTCCCAAATAGAAGACTTCGACATAGAGCAAGACATAAAGACAGGAAATCTTAACAACATTTTTTCGTCCATCAGAACCTTAATTCTTGATCAAAAGTTACAACGGTAAGTTAATTCACTTTTATATTTTAACATAAACTTAAAATTTCTCTTTATCTATATAAAAATAAATAAAAAAATATAAATACAATTGAAAAATTAAGGTACTGTAAACCAATTTGGCATTGTTTTTCTAAAGTTTTGTTTTTATATTTTAACATAAACTTAAAATTTCTCTTTATCTATATAAAAATAAATAAAAAAATATAAATACAATTGAAAAATTAAGGTACTGTAAACCAATTTGGCATTGTTTTTCTAAAGTTTTGTTTTAATTCAACTTTAATCAAAAGGGCTTAGGATAATGCCAAACAGGTACTTAAAATTTCTATTTATATAAAAATAAATAAAAAAATATGAAGACAATGGAAAAATTAAGGTACTGTAAACCAATTTGGCATTGTTTTTCTAAAGTTTTGTTTTAATTCAACTTTAATCAAAAGGGCTAAGGATAAGCCAAATAGGTAACTTATTTACCTATCACAAGACAAACATAAACACAAGATGCTCTATATAGACTGAATCCAGGATCTCACTGAGTCATGCAACGGTCGTACAACAGTCGAATCAAACTCTGCTCCCAGTGAACGCTAGACCATGTGACGTCTGCTGATTGTCAGTGGTCGTCTGAAAGGATCGTCAATAAAAGCGATCCGTTGCACACATGCCGTCGCGTTGAGTTATTCGTAGAATCGCGTCAGCCTGAACCACCAAGCTATTCAACCTTTCTAGAGTGTCAATCAAACTAAGCAACTGACCAATCAGAACACGGCTAGGCACTTAGCAACAATATCCAAGGGGCGCGGCTTTAGCAGAAAGCTCCATTATGTTTAATTTGATGTAGTGTAGTTTAAAAGTGTTGCAACTATCATTATTAAACATCAATAATGTGCTTGTAGTAAAAATACTCCAAAGAATCATGCTTTTTCCTTTACTAAGCACTACTCACTGGCTGTCAATAATAATATTGTACCGAGATAGGTCGCATGACTTCTGACAACCAATTTAAAAATTCTACTTATTGTATTCTAACTATCAGTTGTTCTTTAATTCAGGAATACAAGGCAAAGGCTATTGGATTTAATTGAACTGAGGTCTACCAACTGGGGGAGGGACACCATCCCACCGGCAGCGCAAGGAGTACATTCAAAATCAGCTTCAGGCGATAGTGCTGTTGGGGTTGCAGATCCAGTAAGTTTGTAGCGTTTTTTTACTTTTTATCCCACCATGGTGGAGCTGAGGATGCATTATTTTTAATTAATGACACTATTAGATAGCATAGAAATAGACCTCTCAGTTTAGGTCTTATGCCTCCTGTTTGCTAATTGTTAATTTTGAAGTTTTAGTGTCTTCAGATTCTGCATGAATTCATCTTTAAAACAGTGTTTATTTGATGGAAATTGATTGAGCATTAGCGAAGTTAAGAATATTTAATTCATTGGATATCAGCCATGTAGGTTTTGAGAAAACAGCCTCCAAAGATTCCAAAATCAATAGTTTATCATTAAGATTTGTATTTTAAATATAATTTTAATATACTTTTCATTTAGATTTAGTGATTGATATTTTGCAGAAATGTTCTTCAATATATCTTCTTTTATAAAATGCAGAAAATGGTCAAAATTCTGATTCATTTTGGGTGCTTGTGGGAAATTAGAAACCTCGACAAACAGCGAGTTTCGCCAGAGCCAGTCACATATACTGAAGAAGTGTAATATGTACACAAGCTTGTGTTATTTTAATGTCATCTCTATATCTAAAGTGCAGTACTACTGTAACTAAATTGTTAAAATGCAGATTATGTTAACCATGATAAAGTCTTCTGTAGCCAAGTCTTTATTTTTCCAGTTTTTCTAACCCAAAAACCATTCGCTTGTGGGTCATATTTGAGCTACCATTTATAGACCCCTGCTTTAGAAATACATACCTTAATAGGCATACTAATATTAATACATTTTTATGTCCACTGTTTTATAAAAGTGAATAATAGTTTTTAATTTTTTGAATTTTTACTTACAGAATATTTATACTTATTTTTCACCTGATGGGAAAGTTATCACAGAAGAAGAATCTAGTAAGAACTAAGATTTTCAAGTATCTACAATAAAACATCTCAGGACAACTTATATAATAGAATTTTATAATATTATAATAAGGCTTAATCAGTATTTATTAATTTTGAATTTATTCATTAGCCACACTATACAGTGTAGATGAAGCATACCTGTACATGCAGATCTGTGTAAGATTAACTGTTAAATAGAAAGATGAATACCTGTAAAGTGTAAAACATTCATCTTAATTTGAAATAAACCACTAATTGAATGAAAGTATAGCTTAGTGGTTAAGATGCTGGTCTTGCAATCCCAGGGTCCTGGGTTTGAATCCACAACCTAAGCCTTGTAAGAGACTTGCTTTATAAAGCATAATTTTATCATGTAATAAGCCAATTCATAGTTAAAACTGTGCATGCTTGTATCCGAAAGTCAGTCGACATAAACCAATGTTGAGTGTATGGCGTTTATGTCGATTGACCTTCATAAGAGCATACGCATCTCGAACTACAGTATGAATTGGCTTATTGGCAAGTTACTTTGCTGTTGGGTGTGAAGGAAATAAAAAATAATAGTAGGATGTATAAAAAAGTAAAATATAAAAATATGCAATAAGTGTTTATATCTACATCTTCCATGAAATAACAGCTAAGTGCTTAGCGCATGATTGTGGTGCTGCCAGTAACATTATTTTATAAAACTAAAAGGCTTATGTTGTCTGTGAGAATTGTTGTAGTAGCATCTGCAGTTGCATCATGTTTGATCAGTATATTCATTGATTGCAATCAGTGTGTTAACTAATTACCTCAGTTTAAACCTAATTAAATAGATAGGAAATTTGGGCTAGGCCCTGGGAACCTGTAGTAGCTGCATCAAGGGCGTAAACCTTGGTTTGCAAATTGTGCGCTACACCAGAGACAGCAGTACTATTGTTAAATGGGTACTTGCATGCATATGGGCCATGTTGTACGCAAGACCAACTGCATATACATTTCTGAAAGACAGTCCGCTTTTACGTATATTTTAAAACTTGAAGGAGTAGAATTGGGGGACAATAGACACAACACGTGCGTTGTCCCACGAACACATGTGTTCTCGTATGTTTTTACACTATCGTTTTATGAGACCTTAGCAACAATATCCAAGAGGCGTGGCTTAGCGGAAAGGTTCATTAGGTCTCCACGGTTCAGTGCACACAGTGGCTACCATCAGTTTTATGCAAATTCTGTTAGAAACATTTGTATTTTAAACTAAGTTTCTCTTATCTATCTATTACCTGAAAAAAAAAAAAACTTTAAAACTATAACGGATCTTTCAATTTTGCAACCACTGCTTTCTGGAACTCTTTATTACAATTACATATTAAAATCTCATACAATCTGGCAATATGCATATTCACATCAAATAATATAATATTATAATAATAATAATAATAATAATATAATATAATAATAATAATATAATATATATATAATAATATAATATAATAATAATATAATATTCGCTATAAAAAATGTCAAATTATTATTATTAAATACATTACTCTCTTAAAAATGTAGAAATATAACAATATAAAAACAAATACTTTAAATATATTTTTTTTATAGACTGTCTACATATTTATATCTATGTTTTCCAATTTATATTTTTAGCTCGTTTTTATGCAAATGAAAACGATTTTAATAATATGGATGACTACTTAAAGAAATGGAGCTCGGGAAAGAATGGGAATTCATCAGATTTCCTTGATGATGATTTGTACAGTGGAAGTGATAATTCATACAAAGAGCAAGGGTAAGCAAATACAAAATATTCCCAAGAGTAACCCTGAGAGCCATAACCAGTGGCAGATCCAGGAATTCGTAATGGTAGAGGGGGTGGGGAGAGGCAAAGCAAGAGTGTCCACCCACCTCCACCCCCTACCTCAGCCCCAACCATGATTATGGCACCTCTAGATGACGTGAAATAGCACTCACAAACTTAAATTTTAATGTTTCTTTTTTTTTCTCCATTATTTTTTTTCTATTTAAAAAACTTTGGGGTGGGGCGACCAGCTCAGCCCCCTTGGATCTTCCAGTGATAACCCACTTAGCTTTCTAATAGTAATAAGAAAAATAAAAATTGCCCATTTGCCTACACTGCATTTACAGACACTGGTAACCAAAAGCTGAATATTCTACCCATGTCATTGGAAGTTGATAATTTGTGCGAGTCTTTAAAAGAGGGCGCCATACTAAAGTTGAACTGCTAGTAGCGAAAATGTGTGCGCTCAACTTCCATAACCTTGGTCACCAGTTCAATAGACCGATTCAGTGATGGGTGTCACATGACCTAACTTGGGTATTGGATGTAAACAATGGACTGCCAGAGTGGAGATTGCTATGGCAGCTGTCCCTTGTTTATTGCTGTAAAGATCATCATAATTGCTATATTTTTTCTTTTGAATGTAATTTGTGGCAAAGACAAGCCAAACCAGTCACTCGTCGCAAATCGTGTTTCAGAGAAAATGGCGAAAACATGCTGAAATGTCAAATTTTTAAAAATCTATTTTATTGCATTAAACTAACCTTTATATATCTACACATCATTCTATGCTGTTATTTTCCCCATTTTCAATGTTAAAACAATACTTTTTAAGGATTTAAAGATAGTTTCTGCATGAGAAATGCCTGAAATCATAAACTTTGACGGTTAATTTCTCATATATTGTTCTTTACACAGCTGTGTGGTTAAACACTGGTAACTTCATAAGGAAATGTCCGATTTGAATGATTTTTTTACCATTTTATAGCTATTATTTTACTCTCAACACTGTATTAATAACTCAAAATCGATTTTTGCGACGAGTGACTGGTTTGGCTTGTCTTTGCCACATTTAAGTTACTCTTAAGTCGATTGTTTATGTCCAGAAATTCACCACACAAACTTTGTGTGACTTGTCGTCCAAGGGAATTTGAGATTTTTTGACAAATGTTAGGTCTAGGCCGCTACATATCTACGGCCTGTTTAAGTATGCAGAAGAGTCTTCGACAGGCAAACTACGCTACGATTTCTAGGCTAGCTAAGGTTTATGAAGGATCACATAAATTTCAAAGTAATATATTGCAAGGAGAATGCCAGAATAAGTAAATAAACGCTATTTTGAACAGTCGTATTGTCTTTCCTTGCCATTTGTTTCTCACGTTAACAGTGGGTGGTTATTTTTGTCAACAATAACATTACTTTTTCCTATACTTTCACACTGATCGCACTATAATATTTTCCATGGTACACTTACCGTAGGTCAAGTTACCAGCTGTAAACAAACATTGCCGAATCGGTCGATTCCCATTACTACTCTCCTTGTGTTTTTAAGCCTGTTTGCCACTAGGTAAATTTACTCGTGCAAATCGATAGTGTCAGTTTGCTTCCTGAGCTCTGATTGGTTGAGCATTTTTTTCACTTCGCAAAAGGTAGAAACAGTTCGAACTACTGATTTCGCTGAAGCGAAAAACCCTGGTAGAAATGTGAATGCACATGTGCATGAACCGTCGCTTTTGATTCATGAGGCATTGCTCTTCTCCACTTCCCCCTTAGGAGCAGGAGAACTTTGTTGTATATCCTGAATTTGTATATACTGTACTTTACAGTATTCCATTTTTATGATTTTAAATATTTAAGACAGTTAACTTAGGAGTATTTTTTGTTTATTACATATTTAGTATTTCTTGTCTTTTTAATGCCAGTATAAATTTTTATTTATTCAAAATGTTTAGCCTAGTGTTGCATTAGGCACTAATTTATACTTCACTTGTTTTTGAATATGATCTGTAAAGTATTTACAGTATATGTAAAACTCCATGCATTTTTGTCAATACATTAGTAATTTCAGTGGGTTTTCAAGTAAGCCACACTCGCACAATATCGTTATACCTCCTTAGCGTATTCTGGTACCCATGTTCCTGAGTGGATAGACAAAAACATAGAAAAAGTGTCTTTACCAAAGACACAAGTTATATGGACAGCAAGGGTTTTGAAACCCCAGACCTAAAGGTTTTGATTCCAAGTATATATATTCTATACTACATTAGAACCTTCGGGACCAAAAAGTGTCCCCTTAATATTAAAACAGGGGTGGCCTCTGAATAGGGGTTGGTCATAGTGTGAAAAGATATATTTTCCTTCATGTCATGCCCGAAAAAGTGTCATTACAGGTGTCTCCTTAATAGAGGTGTTACAAAGGGGGAGTTCTACTATATATACTATATTGGAAAAATAAAATCTGAAAGCACAGTAAATGAATATTTGGTGGCATTAATGTGAGTTTTTTTCTTGGTTATTTTTTTACAGTCAAGATTCTGAATATGATGACGAGATTGCTACTGCCTTCGAGGAGTTCTTGAGGATGAGTAACCGATGAACCTCTCCTAGACTTACACACAATATATTACCTGACAAAGGCATACATTTGTATGTTAACACTTTACAGTTATAATCAATATGGTTCAACATTTGTCTTGGTTGACTTCTTCATTATTTTGTCTTCAACATCTTCAGAGATTGTTTAATCGTTTATAACCAATCACAGTATTCCTTTGCTTTTGCAGACACACATTATAGTAATATTTTTTATGTTTAAATGTTATCGTCGAATTTTTGTTCCATGTTATCCAAAGCTAACTACAAATGTAAATAAGATAAACATGGCGAATAGCGACACATTTTCACAGGGTTTTTTCTTGTAAAACCTAGATTTTAAGGTACTGTACTGTACTGTATGTATCAAACTTGAAAATTGTAAACATTTCTGTAGTGGAAAAACAGTGAAAGTAAAATGTAGTAGAATACAAAACCAATTAAAATACTATTCTTCCACTTATTGCTTAGTTGATAACAATATATTAAATTTTTTTACTAATTCAAATGTGTATGAGCACCAATCAGATTGTATTATTGTAGTTTTTAAGAGTTGTAAATATAAAGGCTATACAGTATATATATAACCTTCAACAGCTGTCAGTTTAAGAAAAAGAGTTTGCAATATTTTAACTTCTTTTTATTCTTAAACCTTGTAAATTAAAGAGATGTAGTAATAATAATTGTGATGTAAAAATAATGGGGAGTTTTCGGAAGCTCACGAAAATGATAAATACAGTTACGTCATCAGCTTTTTAGAAAACCCTTCTCCCACTGTAGTATATATGTCACAA